AAAAACAGCTGAATAGAACATTATTACAATTACATAACAATTACAGTTTGTATTAGTGAAATATTTTTTATATTGTAGATTGAGGTACCTTATTAGTCTGACCAGTCAGGGCAGTTTTTGATGTTTTTAACTAGTTTTATTTATAATAGGTGTTTTGCATGCCTAGATACACACATTGGCACAATTGTTGTTTTTTTTTTGTGTTTTGTTGTTTATTTGATAAAGTCTGTATTAACATTTGCATAATTCGTTTATTATGTCCATGGTAGTCCTCATAATGAGAACGACGAGAATTCTGTCAAGGTTCAGCTTGACAGCATTCACAGAGAGAAGCCACGCCACACTGATCTCAAGCACTTCTGTCATTTAAGCACTCTACCTGTTTGTTAGAACGTATAGCCTGCACAAGCAGTGGGACTTGCCTTCAACTTTTTTTTCTCTGATAATATGTTCCTAATTATAGGGAATGTGTAGCATTTTGTATATATTCATGACTAAGAAGTTTCCCCTTTTGTAGTCATGTAAGTTTGAATTGTTGCATACAGATGTTTCATACTTACTATTTTCAGTCAGCAGCTGCTAGACTCCTTTTCATATGTCTACCAGGCTAACATTAAAACCCAACTCTAGCCAAGCCTACGTTTTGGATAGAGTAGAGAAGGGTCAGGACCACTGTCCACTTCCAGAATGTCGAATAAAGATCTTAATAAAAGTTCTGTTTATAGGTTTATAAAAATTGTTACCAAGCAGAATTCAAGTAGTGTTACATTTTTCTGAAGCTTGCTTAAACAGAGTTTGAAGCTACAGCCAGCAATTCAATTAAGATCTACATTCGGCACTCCCTTACTGGAGCTTCAGGAAAGCCTGCATGTTAAAAGCTTTCTGAAAGTTTGATGTTGCTCTTAACACTACAAAATGTTTAAGTTCTGATGAAGCCTGAGGATTTAGCTCCTAAAGATATTTTTTTTTCTACGAAATGGTTTTCAAGGTAGTCATTAAAAAATAGCCTATGTAATTATGCTGTGCAAATCGCCACCTTCTTAATTACGGAAGGAGTTAAGTGTATACCTGAGCACAAGTATGAACAAGAAAATCCCTGTTAAGTTGTCCTGTAGCACTTTGTTGAGAGCAATCACAAGCCATTTAGGAATTTGAGGCTGTTGTGTGAAGCCCTGTGCAAATTGTTTCTATGCAAGGGCAAAACTGTCTGATGTTAATGTTAGTTGGAGTAACACTGCTAAATATCTACACATCGTGCCCAGACCCCGTGGCTCCAAGTGGACATCGCAGTTGGATATTAGACAAGCTGAGGACTCTGTATTCCACTTTACAATGTAGCAGCAAGATACTCAAACCATGGGAACAATGAAGCACACCAGAAGTAGTTTGAATAGTTCATTCTATTCTCATTCTGCACATTATTTCTGTAATTAACAACTTTGGTGTAGACTGTGTTTTTTCATAAGATAGCATATATGTTTGGGGTATAGGCATATATAATTGGAGTCAAGTGTCAATGCCTTTAAATATTGTTTTATCAAGAAATGTGGTGAACCCATACAAAAAAAATCAAAGAATTAGGAAACCTATATCTTACATATCACATTTACAGATGATCAAAAATCACAAATATTTATCATTATTTAATTATTATATTTTAATTATCTATTAAAAATACAATAATATTTATTTTTCTATATTTTAAAATAGTGGAAGCTTTGTGCTATATTTGCTGATGTTCTTTATGTTTTACATATTTTTGAATAACCAATATTATGCATTTTGTTTTAAATGTATGTCTCTGTTAAGCTATTTAAATTCTATAATGAAAAATACTACAAGTATCCTCTCTCTAAATTCCGTTTTATTTTTACAAAAAGTAGCATATTTTTACGGATGATATATTTTAGTTAACTACCCAATTATTTATGCAGATGAGGCTGGAAAAAAATAGAAGGTTTAGTTAGAAAACATAGCACTAAATTTATTTTTCCTACAGTATTTGTGTATAAAGTTGTTTTTATACCATTCTATTGACATTCTATTTGTCATTATAAATGTGTGTTTTGATGTTTCTTTTTTGTCTGTATGGTTTAGTTTTTGTTATTAGTGAACATGGAACATGTATATATTATAGCACCAAAGACAGCTTGGGAGAGGCCTTCTTATTAGATTGTACCAAATCTAAATTGTGTATTTTTATGTGTTTATTTATTCTTCTTTTTTACATTCTGTTTGCTTCTTATATATTTATAAAATATTTTTTGCTTTTGCACTGATATAATGCATACTGTACATGCATACTGTACGCTTTACCTTGGGGGGTGTACTGTAAAGATGTTCTGTCATATACATAATAATGGAACTGCTGCTTCTCTATAAGATTCCTATTTGAATAATCTATTACTTAAAAGGATTTTCATCAACTACTCTTAAGCTGGCTAGGTGCCCTCAAAATGAGCAAAAGCCATAAGCAGTTCTTTTACTGTAAATTACAAGATATTTATCATCTGGCATCTATTTCTGTGTCATTGACAGTGTACAAGTATGTAAAGTCATGGTGAGGTCAGAACTCTGATTTTGTATTCTTGTCAGTCACTCACCCGTTGGTTCAGTAAGGGAGCCGGACAGCTGTCATTTTCAGAAACAATTGCGGGACAGATATTTCTTTCATCACAGATCTCCTTTAATGTTACTCTTGATAAAGCCCAAGCCCATGAGCTGGCCATACACATTTTGTCGGTTTCATTTTAGTTACTGGAAATGGCACATATGATCACAAGTAAATGCAGGAAACTAAGCATTCTAGCACTGCTGAGTTCAATCAACCACTAGAATGTAGTCTGGGGGGCAATACATTGACAGATTTAATACAGTTTATTGAAAGATCGAATCAAAAAGATAAAGAGACTCCGGCAATTTGTCAAAAGCAATCAGATTTTTCTGTTTCTTTAGATCAGGGCAATATGGATACCATCTCCTTGCGGTCAATTGTCTTTAATTGCTTTGCAAATTTAGACAAAGAAAGGAATCAAAAGTTTAATTCCAATATAAAATTATCATGTGTATGACAAACTTTGCTGTTCTTAAGCACTTATTGCAGGGCTAGCAGGACTTGGTCAGTTGGGTAAAGTATTCACAAATGCCTTCTGCACATGCTTGATGGTTGGTGAACAGACAAAAGAGAAGAGGAGACATATGTTTAAATAATTTTATGGCCCACACATGGCCCATTCAGAAAAATGTAAAGTAAGACTGAAATATGTTAGGTTTACACACATGCCGTCATTGTTCAGTTTTACGAGGGTCAGACAGAGACTTGTGGAGCTGCTGCAATACAAATCCCATAGAAGGTATGCATGAATTTCTTTACTAACTGTCAAAGGAGTTCATTATCATCAACCCATGAATGCTGAGGCATGCCCCACTTAGAATGTTAGTATTGCAGGGAACAATCACTAGCAGTTCAAAAACAAAAGGATTGTTGCTACTAAATCAATCCATAGACCTGAAGCACAGCTGTTCACATTGCTTCATCTGTATTTTAGATGTATTATAGTGTGTTTCTGAATGGTTTTCATGCAATGTGATAATGCCATTCAGTTATGGTGTTTTAGGTTTTTCAGTGCATACATGAAAAAATATAGAAAACAAGGGCAAAATCACACGAACATAACAAAGCAAACAAAAACTTAAAGTATATTTAAAACAAATCGCTAGACTCTAATATTAGCTTTAACATGTCATTTTCAATACTTTTAAATCTGCAGATTTAATTAAAATACCTGGTGATAGTGCTGTGACGTTTCCTGTTAAGGCACTCCTAGTAATAGGAAGACAGGAAGACAAGCTCTGACCCTGTCTCTCAGATGTGCTCCTGCGATGTCACCCTTTTACATGGACTTCAGATGGGGGATAAAAGTTTTAACACATATTACATATGCAAGGATGTGAGGATAATAAAAAAAAGTAAACACGGTA